TGTGATATGCAATGGTCAGTACCTAGCAATAGTGGTCCAAAGAAGGCCAACCAGTAAACCAGTGATGGGGTAATGGGCAACCAAGGCTCAGTGATGCACATCGGGAGCGAAGGTCAGGCCATCTGGTCCGATCTCATGGGAGAGGTACTGTAGCACACATTGCTGAAAAAGTTGATGTTGGCTATAATAGAAAAGTGTCAGAACACAGCCTGCTGTGTATGGAGCTATGGAGCCACAGATCGATCAGAATGCCCACGCTGACCCCTGAAAGCATCTACAATGGGCACTTGAGCGTCAGGGACTGCACCATGGAGTAATGGAAGAGGGTGGCCTGGTCTGATGGGTCACATTTTCTGTTATGTCATGTGGACGGCTGGGTGTGTGTGCATTGTTTATTTGGGGAAGAGATGGCACCAGGATGCACTATGGGAAGAAGGAAATCCATGGAGGCAGTGTGATGCTCTGGGCAATGTTCTGCTGAGAAACCTTGGGCTCTGGCATTCATCTAGATGTTACTTTGACACATACAAACCTACCTAAACTTTGTTGCAGACCAAGTGCACCCTTTCATGGCAAAAGTATTTCCTCATGGCAGTGATATTGCGTCCTTCCACAATGCAAAATTTTGCAGTGGTCTGAGTAACATGAAAAAGAGTTCAAGTTGTTGACTTGACTTGGCCTCCATGATCCCCAGATCTCAATCTGATCAAGCATCTGTGGGATGTGCTGGACAAACACGTTTGATGTATGGAGACCCCACCTCACAACTTACAGGACTTTTAAGGATCCGATGCTAATGTCTTGGTGTCAGATACCACAGGGCACCTTCAGAGGAGAAGTAATCACTGGCAGACAGATACTGAACCAACATGGCAGCCCATGTGGACCATGTGTGCAAAAGATGGACATGGGCGGAAAGGCCTCCCCCAGGCACCAAAATAAAAGAAGACATTAAGGAAACAACATTTGGAGTTTCCTTAAAACAGTGTGAGGCTCAGGAGTCGACCAAGACAGATAGAATTACCAGCATTTCTCACCTAATGGGTGTTTCGGTGATAATGACTCCAGGCCTAATCACTCCAGTTCGAAAACCATTTTTAGTCAAGTTTGCACTCTAGTCTATTGAGATGATAGAGTCACATTAATGTTGTTACCCATCATATCTAATGTCTAAAACGCAGCATGGATTTTGGAGCAGGATGGTAAGAATGGGAGAAACTAAACAGGAAGATTAGCACAATCAATGGACAAAAGCAGAGGCACATCTGGAAGAAGAAGACGACAATACAATGACAAGAGGATTGCATGGGATGAGTTTGAGACGGGCTGTGAATATGAGCCACACATGCAACGTGGTGATTAGTGCAGGCCTTCCTGACAGTGCGGACTGGGCTTTTGTGAGGGGGGAGTGGTTTAATTGCACATTGCCACCAATATGGACTGGGACTAATGCCCAGAGTCAGATTTGGGGAGGACAGACCCTTAGGTGGTCTGGGAGATAGGAAGGAAAGAGACAACAAAATCAAGTTAAATACCAGCTGAGAGATAAAATCAGCTGGAATGGCGAAGCACAGCGATCATCATTACTGCACCTCTGTTATACCAATATTCCAGCCTGGTGTTAAACAGGACTCCTGTAGGTTTGACTCTGATGACACAGCACAGCTACATTCTGCCTTTTACGTGACATTTTCTACATATTAAAAAAACTCTTTCATATGTCAGAGGCGGCACATGAAATATTTCCATTGCTTCGATCTTCAGGAGCTGCTACTCCATTGTGAGAAAGCCAAGGTCGTTACCGATTCATAGGCGTCTGTAGATGCTGTGTTATTTTTATGCATTGTTCATGTCCTCCGTATAACCAGCGAGAAGTGTAGCGACGATAGAGTATCACTAGATAAAGCTCTCTCTCTCTCTCAGACGTTATCACATTTGAGCTGCTGTCATGTTTGAGCTGTATCTAGATGTTCCTACATATTATCTAGCTTTTCAATGCGAAAGGCTTCTCAGTATGACCCTCTTTAGGTTTTTACCCCACATGAATTGCATTCGCCATATATAACAAAAAAACTCTGCTTTGTACAATACAACCCAGATTGCCCTGATATATGACGGCATCATCAAGCCTATTTCTGAGTCCCTCTTTTATTTCTGACAGCTGCTTTAGTTATTTCTACATAACTCTCCTGATTACTAATCTATTTTTTAAATGACAGATGGGTCTATGAGTAGATAATGCGGACATCTTTTAACTGGGTGGTGCACTGACTTAGGAATGACAGTCATCGTTGCCACATGGTGATGAAGGTCTCAGCACAGCAGTGGGTCAAAAAGTGATTCTACAGGGTTATTAGACAACCTCCTTCTTTGAAGGGGATGCTTCTGAGTTTTCCCCCGGTAAAGCATGCTTTGGTTGGGATGGTGAAGGGAGCTGAAGGATCTGGGACTTTATCTGGGGTTATGGGTTTTTACGAAGCGAAGGAGTAAATCTAATTCAGAAGCAGAGAGGAGACGGACAGGCAAAGCAAGATGGATGCCGAACTCCGGGACAGGTAATAACGCGTCTGCTGTCAGGGCAGAATGGCTGAATATATAGTCATGACCTGATAAAAGACCCTGCGAGGGTTTTTAAAACTGGGTAACCGAACCAACACAAACCTGAGAAATTCACACACACATCACTAGGGATGGTTTTCAACCTGCAGCCATGACCCGTGTGGCAGAGTGGCAGAGCTGCTGGGATGGTGATCAACGTCAGCTTGCCGATTACTGAAATAGTTCATACGTCTTAAGTGTTTACTTTGAATACTGTTTGTTTATGAATTATTGCCACCAGAAAGTTGCATTTGTGTGCTGGAACGTGCTTGCAGCCACCTCCCTCCCTGCTCCTGTGTTTGTCTGCCAAGCTGGTTAACAGATGGAGGCATGACGTGTGCTAAAATGGGGAGAATCGATGCCAGTCAACGCCATTTCAGTTGTGGATGGAGAAATGCTACCCTGAGTTACAAAAATGACTAATCTCTCTACCTTTGTACTGCATGCCCTTCCTCAGTTTTTGCCATGCTATCATTGTAAAGCCTACAGCTCATAAACAATTTCAATAGCATCTCAAATGTATTATGCAAATTAAAACTAGTTTTAAAAACAAAGACTGTTTATGCTACTAATTTAAATTAAATGATCTATAGAATTGTGTGTTCTCCCCATGGTGTGGGGGGTGTACTCCCACAGGCCAAAGAGATCCTGTTAGTCTGACTGGCATCTCTAAGTTGCCTGTAGTGTGTCTGCGTGTATGTGCCCCATGATGAACTGGCACCCTGCCTGGGATGTACCCAGTCTACCCTGTGCCGCCTGGCAGTGAGTCCAGGGACCTCTGTAGTTATGGATGGAAGGATATTTTCAATCATCTACTGATTCCAATAGTGTAATGCAAATGACCAGAATAGGGATGTCAGACACACACCGCTGGTTTGTCTGAGGGGATCGCAGACACGAGGCCCTACTCCAGACGTTTAAGTGCTCTGACTCCAGCTCCAGGCTTCGGTGTGAGTGTACGGGGGACGACAGAGCTGCTGTCAGCATATGGACGGAGAAGGCAACATTAGAATTTAAAATGGCCTTTCTTCCCTTCTCCCTGCGAGGTGAGGTCTGGTTATCTGATGTCTGTCTTTTTCTGTCCTAATTGGACTATAAATATCAAAGGTCTTATTGTTTTGAAAGTGTGAGAGGTAGAAAAAAATGAAACAGGAAACTTTTTCCATTCAATTCATTTATTAATATAGATTTAGACATAAATATAATATTTTAATATAAATACATGGTTAAAACTCCACACATGACTAATAATGTGATTGGAAGATGGATCTAATTATAGATGGATGAATCTATTGTTTTTTTTTCCCAATTCCCAACCCCACAGGTAACTTCCTATCCTCTTCATGAACACCATCCCCCCCAACCACACACATACCTGCATACGTATGCTTGTTTTCATATTTTTGTGGGGACCATCCATTCATTTGTATGGAAAAAGCATGAATCCTAACTATGACACTCTTAACCCCTACCTAGCCCTAACCTCAACCATCAGTAACCAAACAAGACACAAGACTTTTGGGATTTTTAGTTTTTTTGGTTGCATTCACAGATTTTTTAAAAAATTCAGTTTCCCCTTGTGTGGACTGAAAAAATGGTCCCCACAAAGTCAAAAACAAGTTTTTATGAGATTGTGGGGACATGTGATCCCCACATTGTAATACATTCATGACCCATGCACACACACTCACACAGGCACACAGCATCTACACTGCCACTGGCCAATGATGGCCAATGTCCAGTTTTAGCAAACTAAACTGCTCAAACAGTGATAAAAGGACAATTAAGTACGGGCCTACTTACGGTAAAATGTTAAGACAATGTACAGCAAAAGATATTAAGTGTGTTAGTACCAAATATTCGCTGTGTATCTGTGTGTCAGCACTCCTGTTTTCCATGCTGGTGTGTCTGATGAAATGTGCGCTGTTCTCTAATCCCATGTAATCCCGTCCAGGCACAATCTGCTGGCCCCCAACTCATGGGCTTTCATACTGGGCCTCTACGGCATTCACATCATTTCATAAAATATTATTCATGATACCACATTATATATTAATACTATCTGTCGTAGCTATATATGCGTTTTATATGTAATACACTGTATTACATAAAACCGCTTCAGTGTAACGATGAAACAGCGAATGGAGTGTAAATATTTCACAGCCACCATGTGATCAAAAGCACATAAAATCGTGAAATCAAATTCTGTAAATCGTTCATCGAGAACAAATAAGATGTTCAGTCGGACCAGTTTGTCAGGGATGACTGATGCAGACGTGGGAGTGGGCGAGTGAGCTTGTAGTCTCCATTCATCTATACTTGTAAAAATAGTTATAAAACAGACACCTGCTGTGGGTGTAAAAAAATAAAAAACAAATAATAAAACTCCACGCAGAAAACAATACTTGGAAGCTAGGGGTGGGGTCTGTGGAGAGCGAGTGAGCCCCGCAGATTATAACTGAAGGAAAAGCACGGAGATTATTTCTGTGTGGGGGTCACACGTACGCGTCCTGCAACAAGGCACGGAGAGCCCAGGAGCGCCAGCCGACAATCCGGTGCAGTCAGCTCGCCGCTCCCCAGCGCGGCTGACATGTAGCGACCCGCCGTCCCAGTCGTACCCACAGGACACGTCGCCCTAAAACTTTGGACTTAGATTTGGATACACGCTTTGTTCCCCATTTACGCCCGTCTTTCGGCCAGGTGAGTCTTTAAATTAACCTGGTTTACACCCTTAGATGTTTAACTGACTCTTTGCATCAAGTGGCGTCCGTGCAGCGTCTTTATTTGTTATCGGGGAATGTAATATATAATTGTAGGTTAAATAATACTTATTAGAGTGATATACTGGTGAGTGAATTTTAGGCTGGTTAATTAGGGTGGTTTGATAATGCTCTTGGTGCTTGTTGATTTTATGATATTAAAGGCGCAGTTTACTGATTTTTGTAGATAAAGAAGGATGGGTGATAATTATCACGGTGTCCGCGTTTAAACTAGTCGCTTGGGCAGAGTCTTTTTTTAACTAAGAAGTAAATATTAATCGTTCACCCGATTTTCTGGTTTGCAAGACGGTGACTTCCACAGAAGGTGTTTGATGGGTATTTCGTCAAATGTTACGAAATGTTTGGTTTTGTGGGTATTATATTCTAACCTGAATTTAGCTCCAGCGATCGACACCTGTCCGCAGCTCCTCCGGGTCTAGTCAGATCGGAATGTGGTGAGATTTAATAATACCAACCCCCCGCCCCCCTTCGTAAGTTTAATACAAGTTCGCATGTTTTAAATGTCGTTTCTTGAACGATGGCTGCAATTTTCTTTCCCTTTTGCGGATACTAGAAAATCAGTATCATACATCAGCCTCGGGCCCCCGGTCCAAGCTCCAACTCGGACTACACCGCATTGCCAGAGCGAGACTGAAATTAGCGCTATACATCCACTGTAAAGTGCACTTTTCCCTCCGAAAAATCGAATCTCTCTCTCTCTCTCTCTCTCTCTCTCTCTCTCTCTGTGCAATTCACCAAACCACAGGTGCACATGATGTGTGAATCTATGTAAGGGGGCTGTGAACTGTAAAAACCACACAAAGCAGCTCGCCAGATCCATTTGTTATTGTGCATTTGCTTGTTTAAATTATTTTATATTCTGACTGACCGATAGATGGGCGTTATGTCCAGGGTGTACCTCAGCGTCGTGTACTAATTGCCGCTTTGGAGAGACTCCAGGTACCTCTGTGACCATGCACGATGAGTGTTTAGAAGACGGCTGGATGGATCTTTTGACTATACACTATTTGTCTATCACCCTGCAAATGGTGCATTAATCAACTCCCTCACCTGACAAAGTATATCGCTACTCTTTCTGCTGCCCTTGACATTTTCTGTCACTTATACTTAATTATATGTCCTTTAAAATTGTTTGCAATCATGAAGTTAAATTTTCCATTAGTAGGTACAACACGTTATGTATTCTCAGATATATTGTTTCCTCTCTGGTACAAGTCATATGACAAGAATGGCTGTTTTTTTGGCATGGGAGGGCACATAACCAAAAAAACTATACATTAAGGTATCCGAGTAACCCACTCTTCTTTATATATTTACTAGCTTTTGTTATTAACTGTATCTTTGCATCATTTTTGTGTCATTTTCCCTGTTTATTCTTACTGTGTGGATGTCTGGCCTGAAATCCAAGAATAGAATATCCCTAATTCTGATTGGCATTTTTATCAGCAGAGATCAGCTCTTTATTTCAGGGACCCAGAGTTCCCCCGCCCAAGCCAGCTGGACCACCTCCCCCATCTGATGGTTCGCTGTTCATATGATTAAAACTTGTGGCTCTTCTTCTGAAACATTTGTATGCTGGAAGCATGCATTTGTGTGCATGAGCAAACACCCTGAATGTGCTGAACCTGAATAGTTCCAGAACAGAATCCAGCTGTGAAAATAGCTGACACTGTAAGCCACTTTGGCAAAAGGTTGGCCAGGCAACAGAACTTGAAGTCTACACTTAGGCATCTGGATAACAGGGTGCAATGCTCCACTGTGTTTGTTTTATATTTAATAGCTTTTGTTATTAATTTTATAATTTTTGCATCAGGGTTGGCATGGTTTTGCAGTGGTTAGCACTGTTGCCTCACACCTCTGGGACCAAAGTTTTAGGGTTCCATGTGCATGGAGTTTGCATGTTCTCCCCATATCATCGTGGGGTTTCCTCTGGGTGCTCCAGTGTCCCCCCAGTCCAAAAACCTGTTGAGGTTAATTTGAGTGTTGCCACATCCTGGGTTGTTCTCTGCCTTGTGTCTATAGGCTCCAGGCCCCCTGCGACCCTGAAAAGGACAAGTGGTTGTGTCATTTTTCATGTTACATCAATGACACACTGGTCACTGGCAGGCAGCATGTCCACTGCAAACAAAATTTACAGAAGTTTGGGCGGCAGTCTACATCCTGTCTGTTGGAAAGACTACAACTTAGTAAGGCCAATACCCTGAGTTTTTCTAAGTGATCTCAGTTTGCCTTCCCTGCCCAAGAGAGCAGCTAGAAACTCCATCTGCAGAAACAAAGGTCTGAGTCCTGCTCCATCTCCTTTGAGGTGCTAGAGAGAATCAACATTAGAAACTGTCCTGAGAGCATTTTAGTGTGGATTCCTGCCTCCTCCTCCTTTTGCTAACGCCACTCCTTGCTTCTTCGTTTCCTTCTCTCCATCTTTCTGGGGCTCTTCTGACCTGCTCCTCCTGTCCAGCCCTGGTTCTGTGATGCACCATGTAGCATCTGCTGAGCCAAACCATCACCCTTGGAGCTATGGCCTTCTCCGAGTCCTTCCATGTTCTACCCGTGCACTTGGCAAAAAAAATTAGCAACAGGTTGGGCCCCTCCCTCCAGAAGACCCCCTGCCAGCAACTCCCAGAATTCCTTAACAAAAATTATTAATTTCTTTCTGTTTTTAGGCTTCAGTTCCTCACACTTCTTCAAAGGTTTGTCACTGAAAATAAAGCTGTTGTTTGCCGACGGCTCCTTTCCGAAACACGGCGTTATTCTGCTCTGCGTGTCCCAAGCTGGCATCAGCTACCTGCTTACGCCCTGCCTGTCTGGTAACTGTTTCCTCATCCGTCTTCTCCGGATGAGAGCTGTGTCTCAGGGCCCAGACACAGACCACCAGGAACCTAACTAACACAGAGGTTATACACCTCCCTCTCTAGACTGCCTTCATGGTGCTGTGGCCTATTTATGGTTTAAGCCAGGGTTGTGGCCATTCCGGAATGCATTGATCAATTCCCGTCCAAATCAGGAAATGGAACTGGAGTTGGAACTTAAATCTCCCTGAAATTCAAATTCAACTCCAATTCTGTTCCCCGTAGTTTTTTTTCCAATCCCAACCCCAGTTCCATTTCCTGATTTGGACTGGAATTGATCAATGCTTACCAGAATGGCCACAACCCCGGTTTAAGCCGTGCATTATACTTTTTTAAAAACATGGCTGCAGCTCCAAAGAACCACCCAACGTGAAGCAGAGTGGATTTCAAAACATTTAATGCACTCCAAGCCGCTTATGCCACTGTTACTACAGGTTTGGCATACAAGATTGTACCGAAAGACATTATTTTCACGTTTACAAACCAAAAACACATTAATTGGTTGAACTACTTTCTTTCACTAATGATAAAATGTTTCCATTTAGTTTCTTTTCATTTTAAATTGTGTTATGCATCTGGAATTTTAAGTAATGTTAGTTGGAATTAAATATTATAATACTGCATTGATTTATAACTGGGGGGCAGCATAGTGGTGCAGTGGTTAGCACTGTTGCCTCGCACCTCTGGGACCTGGGTTCCAGTCTCCACTTGGGTCACACGTGTGTGGAGTTTGCATGTTCTCCCCATGTTGTCATAGGGTTTTCTCCGGGTACTCCAGTTTCCCCCCACAGTGGATGGATGAATGGATTTACAACTGTGGTACACCTGGTTAGCAATACATGTGTAGTTATAGGAAGTTAATCAACACCCTTCTGATCAATCAGGTTAGAGAATTCAACAGCAGCATGGTATATGCTTATTTAGGGACTTATTTTTCTCTGCGCAATGATTGCAATAAACATGGCACCGGAGCTTCATCTATTCCTTCTTTCTGATAAATTCTGCCGGTGTGTTTTCTTACTGAGAAGTTCAGCTAAGTCTGACTGTTTGGGTTTCATTTTGCCAAGGAGGCACATGTAATCCATTTAAATTCCTCATCACGCAGGGGTCAGCAGTGGTTTCCACTTCACTGGCGAGTGTGTCCATTTGAGCCATTTTCCCTTGAGACTTGTGTTTTATACCTGTGATACTGGAGGCAGATGGTCCCCTTTCATGTCCCACCCTGCACTCAACAGCTTTTTTAAGCCCTGTAAAAGGCGATTTGTGTTTGGGGGTATTTGGTGCTTTCCGCAATCACGTAAGCTTGGGCAGCCTGGATGGAAGCCAAATCCAGATGAAGTTCTGATAATCAAAGTATCTTATGTGGTTTATAATGTAAAAGTTGGCCCTTCTCTCCAACTTTCTGTTTGTTTTGTTGTTGTTAAAGGTCAGTAGGCTTTTGCCTGTGCGGTTATGTGAGTGAATGAGCCAGGAAACATAGATAGGAGTTGTGTCAGATGCAGTACAGAAATAGAAGACATAAGTAAATAAAAACAGCAAAAACCTATAAATAAAAAAAATCACTTGGAAGAAACATGTTTTCAGAGGTTCTTGGGACTCAGTTCGATGTATGATGCTGTCAGTCATGTAAACGGCCACACAGGATTAAAGACAAAAGTGACTTGCATGCATGAGGACTGGGAAGGTAAGATTAACATTGGCTAGATGAATTTCTGTGTAACCTGGTGAGGAGGGGACAGTTAAGACTTTAGTGACCTTCGAGTGTTTTAATGCATCCTAGTTTAATGCTTTTTCACACACCCCACATCAACAGGAAGAGGGAAAGTGATTAGTGATCACTATATCAAAATGCATCTTCTGCATTTAACCCAAACGTCACAGCAGAGGGCAGCTCATTCAGTGCCCAGGAAGCAATAGTTTGCTCCACGTACCTCAGTAGTACTTTGCTGGTTAGAGAATCAAACCAGCAATCTTTCAATTACTAGTGCATGTCTATAACCATTAGGCCACCAGTGATTTCAGCAAGGCTTATTTACGGATTTGGGGGAAAATTCACTGCTACCACAAGTTGTTT